TTATTCTGTTGAAAGAATGGATAATTTTCACTACGATCCTGTGAAGGATGTAAATTAGTTTGAAAATTTACTGAGTTGGTTGTTGTCATTGGATTATCCCAATATTGAGATCTTATCTGATTTTTATTATTTTTTTGTGGGTAATAGTTTGTTTTTGATGGATGTGTGTAATTATAATTGTGTTCCGCAAAAGTGTTTCTTTTGAATGTTCTGCGTGTTTTTGACGGTATTGTCATGGGTCTATATGTTTGATAATCCATTTGTGGATATTTTGGAGCAACCGAAGGTTTAACGGTTGATTGTAAGGTTACATGTGCTAGTGAAGTGTTTGTGTTTCTTGGTGTTGTTAAATGTGGACGTATCGGTGAGATACTTTGTTGTGTAGTTGTTGTTGTTTGGACGATTTCTTCATTTGTGAAGTGTGATGGTGTTTGAAAGTCTTGTTGAGTGAGGTTTCTAGTTCCATTAAGGTTTTCATTGTGTATGACGGTCGAATTCAAACTATTGTTTCGCGTATCGGGTAAAAATGTATTGTAGTTTAATGGTGTTGCATCAATGGATAATGGTATTACCCTTACATAATCTCGTGCATAAGATATTGTACTTATTGCCTGACTTGAGATTGATTGTGGGATATTTATGGATGCATAATGACACCATTCGGGGTCCCAAACGTAGTCTGATTGTTCTGTGATGACGGTATCATCGTTTGAATTTTGGGGTCTGAAATTTTTTCTCGCTTGTGAAATTAAATCTATATTATGTGTGAAATAATCTATTATAAACCATGCCAAAATTTTTTGTAAGTCATGTTTTGTATGTTGTGAAACATCATCTTTAGTGAAATTTTCTTTAATTATATTTAGAAAAGATGAGAATAGTGTGATTTCATTTCGTACCTTTATATGTTTGGATGTCTCATTCGGTGAGATATGCGGGATTGGGTTTTCGTTTTCTAATATTGAAATATAACTATATATTATTGCAAAAACTTCATTAGTAAATATGGAGTTAGCTCTTTGTGAGTTATGATATTGTATGCTTTTATATATTCTGAGAATACTTTTGAAAATTCTAAATCAAGGTCGTCTGTTTGAATTACATATTTGCGGTGATTCGGGTTTGGTGAGCTGAATTCTATGGTGTAGATTCCGTATTGTTGTGTTAAGTTACATATATCTTTCAGGTAGTGATCAATAATCTGTCTTTTTATTTTTACATCTGGGAACTCTGTTTTACATGGGCTAATTCCGGGTTCAAACAAATTTAGGAGAAAATTCTTGCAAAAATCATGCTGTCCTCTATTATCGGGTGCATCTACTAGGAAGGGGTAGATATCGTCATCGTCTGGACTATCTTCACTTGGAGTGTGTGTTTGGCTCATTTTTTCGTTTAATGACTGTTAATAGGTAATTATCGATGTGTCTAATTGGTTGATTCCAATTATACAAGTGTACTGGTTTGTGTTTATATTGCTTTTTTCTTCTTCTTTTTCCTCTTTTTGATGAATTTGAGGTTGTTTCTGAGTCGGAAAAATATAATTGATCGTGAATGGGGCAATTTTTATCTACAGATTCTTTTAATTTATAAAGTTCGTCTAAATTGTTGGCTTCTGATTCTGAAAATGCGTTTCTATTTTTGGAAAATCTTTTTCGTGTTATCTGTCTTTGTTTGGTTATTATTTTCTTTTTTAGTGTTTGTCGTTTTGTTCTAATATATCCAACTGTTTGTGTATGAGGTGTGATTACAAGGTCATATTTTTTGTTATCTATTTCACAGTTGTGTAAAACGGTTGTTTGTTTATTTCCTAGATTTTTAAATGACATAAGGTTTAGGATGACGGATGCAAAAAGTTGTTAGATGATTTCTATTTTCTTAAATTGTTAGTCCTTACGATTTTTTGGTTAGCTTAACCTGGGTCTATTTGTTCAGGGTTGGAGAGAAAAGTATATCGATTCCGAAGAATGATTTTTTACTTTCTCGTGGCTAGTATAAGCTAAGGTGTTAACTTACTTAATCTTACTTAGGGGTAGTGATTGTGTTCAAGGGTTGGAGAATAGTAAATCGATCCACAAGGTTCAGGTATAATTAGAACGCGAGTAGTTCGTTAGATACTATTTTAAAATCACTAAGTCTAGTGATTACAAGATAGTATTTTTGGTTATCTATTTCACAATTGTGTAAAACGATTGTTTGTTTTTTTCCTAAATTTTTGAATGACATAAAGTTTAGGATGAGGGATGCAAGAAGTTATTAGTGATTTTAATTTCCTAGACTGTTAGTCTTTACGAGTTTTTGTTTAACTTAACCTGGGTCTTGTTGTCCAGGGTTGGAGAGTAAAGTATATCGATTCCGAAGAATGATTTTTACTTTCTCGTGGCTAGTTTAAGCTAAGGTGTTAACTTACTTAATCTTACTTAGGGGTAGTGGTTGTGAATATAAAAGTTTGTGTTGGCTTTTGCCGTACAATCATGAAACTATATGGTAAGTTTCTACTTTGTCGTATGTTGTCTCTTGTTCGAGGTCTTCTTACGATTCCGGGTAGTTCTGTTATCGTTCGGAATATCGGCTCTGATCTATTGAGTCGTAGAGACATTTCGATTAAATTATCATCGTATAACATTTTGAAAATGTTTTGTCTAATTTCTAATCTATATTTGGTTAATTCTAAGCTATTAAGGTCTTATTCGAGACTTATGGTCGCACCAGATGAGTTATAACCGAAGTGGTTAATTCATAGAGTAATTTCGGATAGGGTACACCGTCTGCTCGTCATGCTATCTTATTTTCGGCCGGATAGATTCGTGCAACTTCTTAGTCTAATACCGATCCTAATCTTACTCTTATATCTACTAGTCTCAGGTTGTTTAACTAGTCTCTGCTAGGCTCAATAGATCTAGGGTATACTGGTTTATTGCGGCTGCTGAAGTTCTCTTGGAGAGGCAACTAATTTCTAAGTTAAATTCAAATCTCTCTGGTGCTGAAATTACAAGTAATTCCAGCACTTACAAATAAGTGGGTTGTTAGTTAGATGGATCATGATTGGTTAATATTAAATACTTTACAGTGGTAAAATATCTAAATTATCCAATCATAAAATGTAGTTTAGATCAGGTTCCAATAACAACTTAATATAAAAATCTCTAGACCATCTCTCATCAATATCCATCAGTTCCCAACCCCCTCGTTAAAATCGGATAAACAAATCCGACCTTGCCTGAAAGCACATAAAAATGGAAAACTTCTCGGACAATATAGAATTCAATTTTTGAATGATCACTCTCAAACTAGTCGCTACAACTCTCAAGCATTTTCTCTCTATTTTCCATCAAAAAAATTTCCTCGAAGGTATTGTCTTCGTTCCATTGAAATACAGTTGTTTGTGTCTGATTATGCGGAATTACTTCTCCTTTATAGTTTCAGCGCGTTGAGTTTTAGTGTGAGAGTTGAACAAAGATGGCGCTGGGAATGTTTTTCTGCCACCAAAATGGTTCTATGAATCAGAAAATCCCTATAGAGAAAGTGGAATTTGGAGGAGCTAGGGACACTGTATTGGTGGTTTTACCGTCAAGTCGAATATTGATGCTAGAGACAATTTGTTCAGAGAGACCAAAAGTATCCGTTCTCTTGTAAACTCGCTGGGACCACGCGGTTTCTCGTTCTATTCACTGGATGTCCGTGCTCACTGGAGAGTGAAAAAAAGAGTGTCTTTACAGGAGATTGACTTAGAGTAGGCTGAGAGTCTTCAGTCCCAAGTTGAAAGACTGGGTCCGTTTCATTATAACCACCCCCACCCGCGACAAAAAATGAAAAAAAAAAACTGAGAAAAAACCAGTTTGAGGCTAAATTAATTGAAAAACGCTTCTTTTTAACCAGTCCCATAAAAATATATTGCATTTCCTAGTAACTGTGTCCCAACTTTGCTATAAAAATTTTTATTTTCATTTTTCATCATTTTTTTTTGGGGGGGGGGGGGGGGGTGGGTTAACCGAAAATACCCAAAAGAATCGTCGCAGTTGCTTGTTGAGTAGCGTGCTGGTCCATATCCAGCAGTTGGTTTGGCTACAGAGAAGGAATACGACCGCTTAGGTTTGAGTTGCTTGACTGCGCCATCAAAAATTATCTAGGTACCGTACCATTATGGTGCAGTTAAAAAAAGTAATACGATTATAAAACAAGAAATGAAGTAAAACTGAATATTAATTTTTAACAACACGAAAGCAACTGAGTTCAAAGTCCAATGCACTGCTTTGACCGCTGGCAGGTAGGTGTTTTTTTGACATTTTTTGCTACTGTTATTTTTTGTATAATGGAATAAAACAAACGATGGCTCAAATCTCTAAAGTAAGAACGTTGAATTTTTTTCCAATTTTTTGATGTGCACTTGTTTTTTGTGATCAGTTAGAAGGCTCTTAGCAATTATTCTGATAACTAATTTTAAATATCGGGAATTTTGTTTTTTAAGTTCTTGTCTTGTATAGATGAATGCGATGCAAAAGTTTAGAATACAAAAATTTTCCTATTGTTATGGGTCATAGATCTAGAAATTTCATTGTCTGTTTGACATTTTTGCAGTAGTTTTTGAGTTTCTTTCCTTTTCAACTTTTATGCATTAAAAAGGCATCTTTCCAGTTTGTTTCTTGATAAAAGACTCACAGACCCCAGCCAGTTCGGAAGAGAAAAACATCCGCCGTTTTGTACTATCCGATGAACTTCTTTGCTCCTCCATATGCCTTTACAATGTGGCTCGAAAACTAACGCTCAAATTATGGCTCAAAAAATGTATAAAGTCATAAATCAGACTTTTTATCATCTTAAACTTATATATTCAAAAAGTTAGGAAAAGAACCAAATCGTGGAAAAAATTCTTTGCATCTTAGAGTACTTATAAAATGCCATTTGTTCATATATTTTTGAAAGATGTGCTTGATATCAATCTGGCTGGACAAATCTTTGCTTCGATGCTACTTGAAAATTATTGCATTATTTCACTTTTTTCATAAGAGTTTCAGAATCTCCAAGATCTTATGCATTTCTTTATAGAATTTTATTTTTAATATTCAGTTCCGGGTTTTAAAATGCAATCACAGAAAAATGTCCGCAATACTCAGTAAGTATTATAACTTTTTCAAAAAAAAATAAATAATGTAACAAGAATTTAAAGAACCATGTTGATGCCGTACTTAGTCCCTTTTTAATTCTTTTTGTGAAAAAATCTAACATGAAAATGCATTGTTAAAATTTAACGCCTGATCAAAAGTTAACCATTTGAATTATGGGTGAATCTACAAAACTTTCTGATGGGAGGTGATAGGTTTAAAACCCGCCCTGATCTAAAATATTTCAAACTTTTTTTACTGCTAGCCGTGGGGGTGGGGGTATACTGAGAAATTTACGTTTTAAATTAATCCTTTTCTTCAGGGGCGGATTTAGGGGGGGCGGGGGGCGGACGCCTCCCCCCCCCCTTCAGGGATTCGACCCCCTGCCGACCCAAAGGGTCCCCCCTTTGATACTTTTTCAGAAATCCATTTTTGGCCGACCGACCCTAAAATTTTTCTAAAGGCGCCTTTGGCGCCAATATATACTAACTTTGAGGGGGAGCGCGCGCCAAAAAAAACGCGTTTTTTTGTCAAAATTTTTCAAAAAGTGCCCAAAAATTATACTTTTTCACATGTAATTTGTAAAATTCCTTCTTCGTTCAAAATATAATGTGAAAAATTGAATTTTGTTCGAATATAATGTGAAAAATTGAATTTTGTTCGAATATAATGCGAAAATGAAAATGTGAAAACTATTTGCATTTCTTTAAAATTAGTTTCCAACTGGGCGATGACATCTCCGACCCCTCCAAGATCAAGGACCCCCTCACTCTGTTGGAGCAGCTGAATGAGAAGTACAAGAGACAGAAGGCCATGTACAGGGAGACCAGGGACTACTACTTCCGACTCAACCTATTCGTATTCTACCTCCCTCTACTCATTGTACAAGGTTGCTACACTTTTTAACTGCCATATTATAGGAGCAGGTTGTTAGGAGCAAGATTAATTGTATCTTTAATTGCGCAAAAAAACTGTGTATAAATTATTTTCGTATTCTACCTACATACACCCATTGTACAAGGTACATTGAAGACACCCATTCTATAGGCAGCTAACTGAACTTTCCGGTGTTCTTCCAATTGTTTAAATTCTTTATGGATTTTCAATTGGTGGAGTTGTGCAGATAATAATCGATTATGTTCCCTTCCTGAAAGCGGATTTATAATGATTTTCATGTTTTTGACTATCCACTCCCCTTATGGTATCTAGTGAAGAGATTCCAACCCCCCATTATAGAACTAAGTCGAAACTGGTAAGCATCTGTCAGTTTTGTACCTTGTAGCAATCCAACATTTGCAACAGAGGGAAATAGTTAGCCAGATCCCTTAGTTCATAACTATCATTACGAGCAGGGCAAACGAGTGTCTGTATGACTGTGGAACCCGGAAACAGACCTTTAAACTAGATCAAATCAATCAAAGAAACAAATCCCTACAAACAGAAAGATCAGAGAAAACCGACCTGAAACTCCGCCCGCAGAATACACCGTTTGCCATCGCAAAGATAGCCGAGTCGAGATTTTTGTCTAAATTGAAGCAAGATTTGAGCGGTTTGAGTGGTTTTTTCATACAATTGCGCTCAAAACCCCGCAAAAATGAGCGGTTTGAGAGTTTTTTTACTGCTTTTCAACAAATGTTTGAGTGGAAACATTGTCAAGATTAAGCCAATTGAGTTAGGACCGAAGTGTATAACTCATAGAGTAATTTCGGATAGGGTACACCGTCTGCTCGTCACGCTATCTTATTTTCGGCCGGATAGATTCGTGCAACTTCTTAGTCTAATACCGATCCTAATCTTACTCTTATACTATCTAGTCTCAGGTTGTTTAACTAGTCTCTGCTAGGCTCAATAGATCTAGGGTATACTGGTTTATTGCGGCTGCTGAAGTTCTCTTGGAGAGACAACTAATTTCTAAGTTAAATTCAAATCTCTCTGGTGCTGAAATTACAAGTAATTTCAGCACTTACAAATAAGTGGGTTGTTAGTTAGATGGATCATGATTGGTTAATATTAAATACTTTACAGTGGTAAAATATCTAATTTATCCAATCATAAAATGTAGTTTAGATCAGGTTCCACCCATCCGGGTTTTACAGAGTTTTTTAGAATAGTTTTTCTGTAATTCAAAGGATGGATGATGGACGTTGGTATTTGGCGAACATCATAATTCTTCTGGGTTCTCTTGTTAGAGAAGTTCCAGGTTCAATCGTTGTGTCTTCTCAAGACAACGACTGGGTTTTCGCAACAAACTCAAATCTGATTTCAGAATGGTTGGCTATGACAGGTTTTTCCGTTTCATGTAGAGAACTTCTTTTGTGTTTGACCTTGTCTGGGAATGGCGTGGAGGTTGTGCGTGGAGGGGATGCCTGGTTACTCGGATCTGTACGTATACTTGAACATCGAGGTGGTCATTGGTCTAGTTCAATGAAGTCCTTTTCTGCGAAGTTAAGTCGTACTCTAAATCCTTTGAGTTGTGATTGTGGGCGGCATATTGATTGTGGTTGGCCATTCTTTTTCGAGTGTAGTGGGGTCATTTTGTCTTTGGATGTTCGTCTTTGGTGTTGTTTGTTGATCTATATACTGCAAAGTGTAATTTACATTTTATAAAATTTTTATTAGTTCGGTGTTTTTGTTATGATTTTGGTTAGTTCTTTTCACAAAAGCTTTTTGTTTTAGTTCGGTTATTTTGAAGAGTTACTCACCCTTGAGTACCTCTTATTAAAAATAGAAGTGTGGTCACAAAGCGTGGATGTGTTTTATTATTTCTTTCTTAGACTTTATAATAGTCTTCAAAAGAATAAATTATCCAGTTTTAAACTGGGTTTATCCGGTTTGGGTACCGTTGGTTTCCTTTTCTTAGTCATGCTGTTATTCTATGTGTTGTGGTGTTTAGTAAGCTGCGTTGGTTAGTTTTGTTTAGTATATAATTTCTTTCCAACCGGGTTAAAGGAAAGTTTGAAACTTGTTATCGTGTGTTAGAGTTGTTGAGTGTGAAAACTTGAAACTGAAATTCATTATTTTAAACAATTCTTTGTGGGCGAGCTGTGCGAGTTTGGATAGAATTCTTGTGCGAGTGAATGAAAATATCAAAAGGTCAGTACTGCATTTGTGTTTTATTAATTTACTACATAGAATCTTAATTTTACTGCTAGTTTTGGGAAAAATTAAGTTACAAATTTTCATCATTATTAGATTTACTGCTTATGGGGAAACAATTTATAAATTAATTTACTACATTGGTATGAATTTTATTTAAATTAGTTTGTGCAAAATATTAATAGAATTTTAAACAATTTGAAGAAGTTTTCTATTTTTTATTTTTCTTTTGTGTATTTTGCAGATGATCGTGAGATGAAGACTAAAAATCTAAATAAAACATGGGTAAAGAATGGTTAGTGTTTTATTTTAAATTTATTAGTTAAGAATATGTATAAATTATACTTAACTGTTAGTCGTCGGGAAATAAACCGTGGGGGAAGATGTCGTGGATTATCTCGGAATTTGTTAGTAACTTTGCTAGTATGCGAATGATGTTTTTAGTTTGAAGCAGTGGCCAAAGCAATTGAAGTGCTTTAATGGTTTTTAGTTCTTCAGTGCCAACTGCAAAATCATAAGGTGAGTTTTGGATGAGATTATATAATTTGTGGTTATATTTAGTGTTGTGGATGAATTCTAATATGGGGATTTCTATAGGTTGAACAAATTCGGGTGGGATAATGAAGGGTCTGGAATACTGCTTTGGTATTATATTTATTAAATTGTTGGTGCAAAAAAATAATAGAGTTTTAAACAGTTTTGAAGAAGTTTTCTATTTTTTTATTTTTCGTTTGTGAATTTTTCAGATGATCGTTGGATGAAGGCTAAAATTCTAAACAAGACTTGGATAAAGAATGGTTAGTTTCTAATTTTTATTTTAATTAGTTAATAATATGTATAATTCATACTTACCTGTTAGTCGTCGGGGAAGAAACCGTGGGGGAAGATGTCGTGGATGAGATCTGAAGTTGTTAGTAATTTAGCTAAGATGCGGATGATATTTTTAGTTTGAAGCAGTGGCCAAAGCAATTGAAGTGCTTTAATGGTGGTTAGTTCTTCAGTGCCAACTGCAAACTCATAAGGTGTGTTTTGGATTAGATTATATAATTTGTGATTGAATTTAGTGTTGTGGATGAATTCTAAAATGGGGATTTCTATAGGTTGAACAAATTCGTGTGGGATAAGGAAGGGTCGGGATTCTTCTGCGTTGAAGGTCTTTGTGATGGGACAAAAAATATACATTTGGGTGATGGGATCATAATTGCGAAGAATACCGTGAAGGTTAGTACCTTTGATGCAATATGTGAAGTTAAGAAAAAATGGTGATGTGTATTTAGAGTTAATAAATTGAAAACGATGATGTGGTTGTCTTGATGGAGTGTGTAGGTCAAAGTGATTTTGTATAAAGCGGTAATATGTATATGTGTGGGTTTGTTTAGTGCGTAACATAATGTCGTGTGAGCAGTGCAAATCTCGTTCATGTGGTGCAAGGAAATGAAAGGTTAGTGAAAATAATTGAAATCTTTCTTTAAAACTTTCTTAAGCTTGTGTGTCGGTTAGTGCTTCAGAAATGATGTGGTCGAATTTGCGATCAAATATATTGAGTGTAAAAGCATATGGTGTTTTGATGAAAAATTTTTCTGTGATTTGTGGGTTAGCAAAGCGATCATCATCTAAAAAGTGGTCTTGGTTAGTTCGGATGATGTTGTGATCGTAATATTCTAGCGTATATTCGTTAGCTCGGGGTGCAGTGTATGTTTTTAGTGATTTTTTATATCCTATATAAGTAAATTGTCTATGTGTTAGTGGTGTAGTGAGTCGATATAGCATATCTTGATTTCTTTCTATATCGATGTGAGTATTAGATAAAGGTAGGCAAAGGGGGTTAGTAAAATGATAATATGATGTCCAATGAAGTGTAGGCATTAAAACTTGTTCGTCTACAAAGCTACGTGTATCGTTAGTATCGGTAGGGGTGTTCGAGGTATATTGTGGAAATGAAGGTAAGGTGATTGCTAAAAACTCTTTCGTGTTAGTGTGATTCGGATGATTAATATATTCACGGGCTGTTCCTGGTTTTGTTGGAAATGGGTGGTTTGGGAATTTTCTTTTGAAAGTGCGGTAAGCTCTATTAGTGCTAACTGATGATTCGGTGGATGTGGATGATGGTGCTAATGATGCGGTATAAGCTGATGAGGGTGTAGGGGTAGGTGGGTTTGATGATTCTATGGTTGATGAAATCTGGTTTATTATTGACGTGTCAAGGTGGAAGGGTTGTTGTTGTAAGGTGATAAAATTATCTAGTTCTTGGGAGATTTGGGGGGTGTCTGGAGAATTGGATGATCGGTCTGAATGAAGTGAAGAGTAGGTTGGGGTAACTTGTGAAGCATAGGAGGGTGTAGAAATGGATGGGAGTGGGTTATTTGGTGGGATTGGTTGAAAAGGGGGTTTCGAAAAAACTGAGGGATTGGTTTGAAAATTATTGGATGGAGATGGTCCAGAGTCGGCAAATTCGTCAGGGGTTCCAATATCTGGGTTATTGAGTTGTGAGATGGAGTATAAAACTGAGATGTGTGATTTAGTGTCTGAATTCATGCCTGATGTTATATTATTGGTTGGGAAATCGGGTGGTGGGAAAGCAAAAAGTGGAATTATTGTAATTGGAGTGTTGAGATTGGTTGGGTGGGAATTTGAGCGGTGTAGGGATCCAAGTTGTCGGCTCATCGTGGGCTAAAAAAATTATTATTTTGAGATTGAAAAGCGGTGGTATGGGGTTGTTCAATAATTTGTTCATATGTATTTTCATCTAGTAGATGGTGTGTCCTTATATGTTGAATGGGACTTTGTGATATG